AAGCTACACGAGGGTTATCTGCACTAGCCATCCGTAATTTATCACTGAAAGACTAGAGAGAAGGCAGCTAGTCATCACCACCCACCGCCAACTCTTGGTCCAATCTTCTACCAATGAATAATAGGATTGACCGTCACATTGTAACGCCCCCACGGCTGAAAGAGCGAAAATGATTGGTGTAATGAGGATTCGAACCCGCGACCCTCAGATTGCGAGTGGAACGTCTTAACCACCTGGCCATAAGAAGATGTAAACCGGTACCAAAATACAAACTAGATCGTATTAATAAAATGCAGGTGTAAACCGGTACCAAACAACACACTAGATCGTATTAATAAAACACAGATGTAAACCGGTACCAAACAACAAACTACATCGTACTAATAAAACACAGATGTAAACCGGTACCACACAACACACTAGATCATATTAATAAAATACGGATGTAAACCGGTACCAAACAACAAACCAGATCGTATTAATAAAACACAAATGAGAACCGGTACCAAATAACAAACTAGATCATATTAATAAAACCCACATGTAAACCGGTACCAACTAACAAACTAGATCATATTAATAAAACACACATGTAAGCCGGTACCAAACAACAAACTAGATCGTATTAATAAAACACAGATGAAAACCGGTACCAATCAACAAACTAGATCGTACTAATAAAACACAGATGTAAACCAGTACCAAACAACAAACTAGATCGTATTAATAAAACTTAGATGTAAACCAGTACCAAACAACAAACTACATCGTATTAATAAAGCACACATGTAAACCAGTACCAAACAACAAACTATATCATATTAATAAAACGCACATGAAAACTGGTACTAATCAACAAACTACATCGTATTAATAAGACACACATGTAAAGCGGTACCAATCAACAAACTAGATCCTATTAATAAAATACAGATGTAAACCGGTACAAAACAACAAACTAGATCGTATTAATAAAACACACAAGTAAACCGGTACCAAACAACGAACTAGATCATATTAATAAAATTCAGATGTAAACCGGTACCAAAAAACAAAGTAGATCGTATTAATAAAATTCAAATGTAAACCGGTACCAATCAACATACTAGATCGTATTAATAAAATTCAGATGTAAACCGGTACCAAACAACAAACTAGATCGTATTAATAAAACATACATGTAAACCGGTACCAAACAACAAACTAGATCGCAATAATAAAACACACATGTAAACCGGTACCAAACAACATACTAGATCGTATTAATAAAATACAGATGTAAACCGGTACCAAACAACAAACTACATCGTATCAATAAAATTCAGATGTAAACCGGTACCAAACAACAAACTAGATCGTATTAATAAAACACAGGTGTAAACCGGTACCAAACATCAAACTAGATCGCAATAATAAAATACAGCTGTAAACCGGTACCAAACAACAAACTACATCGTATCAATAATATACTTCGTTTATATAAATTTATTTAGTCATGATTATACCTTTACAATAAAAAACTACTATATATATGTGTCAAATAGAAAACATTAGATTCTTGGTGAAAGTAAGAAATGTACAATGTTTAATATCCAGCCAAATGCCATTCAGCATATTAAGGTTACCAGAGTACAGTCTGTAAAAAGTTCCTATTTTAATATACTTATTAAATAAACTGTAGAAGAAAATACACAAGACGTTAAATGGTGAAGTAGTCGAACACGTAAAACATTTATTTTTACAAAACCATTATTGTGGGTCAAAACCCTCATTCACGATTTAATGTGAGAAAACATTCTTCTACCGACCTATGATGGGTTTATACATGAAACTTCAATTCTCACAATGCAAGTGTGAAAAACTATTTAACTATCATTCCGAGATGTAGTCCAGACCAAAACCGATCAGAAAATTCTTTTTCTTTTCGATCAGCCCTATAATCTAAACATTTTTGAATGAAAATGTAACCAACAACAAGCTTAGGTTTTGATTTTTGTTATAAACTAAACTAACCCGTTGGTTCACTCACTATTCAGAGGTTATGAAGAATTCAAGCTTATTTTAATCTTGCACCGAAATGAAGGTTTATTTTGAGATCATTTAATTAAATATTTCAATCCATTCATGTTATTCATAATTCAAGAAAAGATATTTGATTGTTAATCGGGAGTAAAAGTTAACACCATTTCACTTTTTTAAAAAGTGAAGTTAAAGTTTTCAGATATTGTGATGAATTAGTTCATTATGTTGTTGTCTTTCCTCTTTAACCTTCTACAAATAAGAAACAGTAACACTTTATTTTTTTCTTCGAATTACCTACCATAACCAAGGCACGTTATTG